CGCCTTTGGCAATGGCTCGGGACAGCAGAGCGAGCCCGTTGCTGTATAGGTCTCTCTGGGTGGCACTTTTGTCACTCAGACACTGCAGCACTATGGCAGTATTGAAAAATTAAAGGGAAACGGCGCTTTGTTCCGTAAGGGTGAAACGCATCAGAAAAAGATGGAAAAAGAAAAGAAAATTTAGGCCTTTAAAACCTGTATTACAGTAGGCCCTCTATGAGTATATTATGTGTATTAATAGTATTTCATAACACTGACCTTAAATTGCAGCTTTTTAGCACAAAAGTTAGTTTAATTGTTAATTGGAAAAGTAGATTAATTGCTGGCCTGCTGAAAGGAAAAGAAACTTTATGCTTTCCAGAAGCCATTTTGGATTAGAAATTGGCCACAGTCCTGAACTGAAACTCAAGGTCTCCATGTTTCCTTGATATTTTTTTTTTTCATTGAAATCGCATCGCAGCATAAATAAAGCATGGGCTCCAATCCAGAACCCACTGGGATCAATAAAAACTTCTCCTAGTCCCTTGCATCTGGGTGGTTTTATACACAAATAATTTATAAAAGCGTCTGCTTTGTTCTTCTATTTATGGAATAACTAAAACATACTATTCATTTTTATCCTACAGGTGAGGAAAGCTTAATTCTTCTAGATGGAAGACATGAATTTCCGTTCAGCTTTCAGCTCCCTCAAGAGTAAGTTAAATAACCCAACCTGAAGGGATTGTGCTGGACGTTGCTTGTTGTGGAACATGAACTTAATGTACCTTGACTTGTGGTTTTTTCAATATCGAACTGATAAGTCAGCTTTATACGTTTGTCTGAGTCAACCACCAGGTAGACATGCCTTGTTTGCTTCAGTTTCCCTAAGGCCCTAAAAGTAGGAGCTGGAAATGGGTAAACATTTATGTACACAGGAAGTGTTCATGTTTGGAACTGAAGTCTAACCTTACGGTAATGCTTTAACGACTGCTTGTTTCAGACCTCTGGTGACCTCTTTTACTGGGAAGTATGGCAGTATTCAGTACTACGTGAAAGCAGTTCTGGAGAGGCCTGCAGCACCTGATCAAAGCGTACAGACGGAGCTTCAGGTCATTAGCCATATCGACGTCAGCTCACCAGCTTTATTGGTAAGAGGGTCCTCCACTCCTCCTCCCCCCTTTAAAGCCAGCTGCAAAAAAATCATTTCAAGAAGCATTCACATCCAGCCATAACCATTTCCATGTTATTCTGGAGTGTCATTTTCTGACTTCTGAAAGCATATAAGCTCCCTAAGCTTTTCTCTATAAATAGATGATCTTAGGTTGTGTGAATAGCAAACAGAGTGGCTTTTTTTAATACCATTGATTACATCCCTGCTGGCAGAGATGTTCTTGCCAAAAAGTTATGCAGGCTTCAGATGCATAAATAAGGCTTAATAATAATAATGCACAAGTGTAAAGTAGTTACTCCTACCAGAGCAACTACATTCACAGGGCTGCAGTGTCCTAAACTCTACAATAATAGTAGGTTGAGGAACAGTAATTATACAAGAGTATTAATCATGCCCAGCCTGTCATTTATGCTCTGGCCATTATGTTACATATCCTTCCATTTTGCATGTCGTTTTCTAACATTAAGTGCGTGCACGCAGCTGCTTCAGAGATCTTTTCAGTTATTTCCTTATGACAGATTTGGCCACATTAAAGCATTGAGTTTCTAATAATCGCTAGAAATACTGTAGAGTAGTAAGAAAGATCAGGCATTAAGTAATGAGAAAATAGGCAAGATGGAAGCTAATGAGCTGGATTCTTTTATCTCAACCCATATTATGAAAATAATATAAAATTATACCTTGCACTTTTCATGATAGCAACTGGATCTAAATGGTTATTCATTTAAATATGAATGAGTAATTTCTATTTTATTTAAAACGCTAGGATAATTTTAACATTTCATCATGATGCGAACGTAGCTAAGAGATGTTTTGAGCAGGGCTTTTTTCCCCTTTGTATGCTTACGTTTTAATCTTTAGAGAGAACTTAGTGAAGTATTTTGGCAATGACATCTATAAGTAGAACATAGCGTTTATGTTTAACAATGTATGTTAGGAGTATGAAGACAGCCTATCCGGATGTTGCAAGGATTGAGTAGACCATAGGTTTTTGCACAGGAAAGGGCTGTGGGGCACGTAAAGTAGGCAGTACCTGTCTTAATGGATTCCAAGGCTACTACCAAAAACAACACTGATTTTAGACTTCATAATTACATTGACTGGGCAGTAGGGCCCAGAAAATCATTTTAAGTAGCTCGAATCCTGGCTTGGACACTTGACTTGTGTACTTGTATGGTCTAAGTTTATTCTAATGAAAATTTTACAGACAGTGTAAATGTCATCTAATGTGACATTCCTCCATGAATAATTAAGATGGTTTTTGTCATAAGCCTGATTTTTTTGGGGGGGTTGTGTGGCTTGCAAGTTATGAAGATGCACCACCTTACCCCAGCATGTATACATTTATCCTTTCTTATGAAGGATACAAAGGTAAAAACTGTTTATCTGCTTAACGATTAGTTGCTTGCAGATGAAATTAATTCTGCATTCTTCTGCACTGAGGAACACGGGCATAAATACCGCAGTACTCCATTAGACCTTTAAAAAGTCACATCAATAAAATTGGCTAAATCATTCTTTTTGAAGACAGATGACATTCAAGTGCACATTGGTCTCTGTTACCTTGTTGATACAGTCTCAATGCAGACTGGGATTTTAAAACAGCCGTATGTTCAGATAGCCAAACCGTGGTTCCATTTTTACACAGTGGCAAAACTGCAGTTGTGTTGAGTAGTACAGTGATTCAGATCAAGTGGATTGTAGAGCTGCATTGCAATGACTGATATGCGTAACATTAAACTGAAGTGATTGATAGCTTTATGCCATAAAATGAAAAACACTCTATATTTTATAGACACCTGTTCTAAGAAGTCAGGAGAAGATGGTTGGCTGTTGGTTTTTCACCTCTGGGCCAGTGTCTCTCAGTGCCAAAATTGAGAGGAAGGGATACTGTAATGGTAAGAGTAGTTATCTTCAAAATGTGAATATTAAACATCTGATAGGGGTTTTTTATCTCTGTGAAGCCAACACTTTATAGTTGAAAGAACAGTTCCGTTTAGTAGGTAGCAAATGGAAATCTATGCGAACTTGCTTTAACAAAAATCTTGCCTTGCCCCTCTCGCTCCCCTTGGGAATATACATTGAAAGGAAGTCCAGTCAGTCAGAAATCTTATGGAAAAGCCACATACATTTGAGTGTAAAGAACAACAAAATGCCTTTATTTGGGATAAAATACTTAATTGGGGATGTAATCAGGATTTTATGTCCTGCTTGTGTAGGTTTACACTTCTATGAGAATGAGCTCCAGCAGCGTGTTTGTCATCTTGATAACATTAGATACATTGAGGAAATAAAGCATTCAGGAATTCAGTTAGTACTATATAAAAGGAAGACTGGCGCGTAATTTGCAAATAAAGTTTTTATAGCTTGTTCGTATTATGCTTAATGTTTCAAAATGAATCATTGTTTATACATAAAATGTAGTAGGTGGCTCTAATTCTGCCTGGATACCACTCTGCAAAAAAGAATTAGCTTGAGGAAACTAACAAGTATTGTTCTCATAACATTGCAGATGATGTACGTGCTGCATAACATGCTTTGATACTCCCAGAGGAAAGTTGGTAAATACAAATTATTCATTGAACTTTTTCTGTCTTTAAGGGGAAGCCATACCGATCTATGCAGAAATTGAGAACTGCTCTTCTCGTTTGATTGTTCCAAAAGCTGCCATTTTCCAAACACAAACTTACCTGGCCAGTGGGAAGACAAAAACTTTCCGTCAGATGGTTGCCAATGTCCGAGGAAACCATATTGCCTCTGGGAGTACAGATACCTGGAATGGGAAAACTCTGAAAATCCCACCTGTATCCCCCTCTATACTTGACTGCTGTATTATTAGAGTAGAATATTCATTAGCTGTAAGTATGGGGTTTTATTACAAATGTACATACTAAGTTGAGTCGGGAACAAAAGTATTTTCTCTACTGAGCAGCTATTAGATTTTGAAATTGGGAACAATAATAATATAAATAAAACATCATATACCGTATAGGCGAGGGACTGAAGATCATGAAGAGATTCTGAAATGGAAAGATAGGAATAATGGAGAAAATGGAAAAATGTTTCTGAGGAAGAAACAGCTTAGTTTCAGACCTGCAGATGTTATTAGGGGAAAGTAGTGCGAGCTGAGTGGGTTCCTCTAGTGAGTCTTTTCAGAAATGGGAAGATAGGACTGAAAATAAAGTGCATAATTATTTTTATCAATCTGGTTTGTATTTTTCTGATGTCATCTAGAGATGAGATACAGAAAGAGGGAAGTTGCTGGAAAATAAGGAAAGCTGCCAGAGCATTAGCTAAACATACCTGGAAAGAGAAAATTCCTCATTTCTGTAAACACTCTGCAGCACGGGGCGTAGGGTAGCTTCTCGGAGCAGCAATTCATTGGGGTCTCATGATGTTTTTTTCTTTTATTTGGGGGTTGTCACCTAGGTGTATATCCATATTCCTGGTGCTAAGAAATTGATGATTGAAATGCCTCTGGTGATTGGCACTATTCCATGTATTGGATTTTCAAGCAGAAACTCCAGCATTACCAGCCAGTTTAGTATGGATATGAGTTGGCTGGCATTGACCATGCCAGAACACCCTGAAGGTAATACATATGGAACTCTTTATAATACAGCACGGTACTGCCTACAACAGAAGGATAGTAGTGCCAGGTTAAGGGCACTACTGGTGATGTCGGCCAGTAAAGCATGACTCATGAGAAGCGAGGCACGTAAATCTAAGTTAAGGATTGGCGAGGATAGCCTAACTCCAGCCTTTTTTAAGTCTCTATTTGCCCTTTCAGCTGAATCTTGAAATAACTAACTACTGATTGTGGGAATTCTACTTTGGAGGTAGACGCCTTAAAGTTAATCATTACTGAACGTACCTTGATACAACAGGTTTGTTGCTGGAGTAGCCTGAAAAGTATCTGTAGTGTTCATGCTGAATCACCTAAGCTTACTAAAACCATAATTCTAGTTACAGTATTTATGAGTACAGTGCACTTCGTGCAATTTGACAATAGTACAATATTTAATAAATACAGTCTTCGTGGTCTTGGATACTGTAATACATATGTTGTCTTGCTGTGAGTGAATACTTGTAAATTTGACTGTAGCATCTCTTGTGTTTCAGCACCGCCAAATTATGCTGATGTAGTGTCTGAGGAAGAGTTCTCCAGACATGTTCCTGCTTATCCACTACCAATTGACTGTGAGGAACAATTGTGTTGTCCTGTCTTTGCTTACATACAAGAGTTCCGGTTTCAGCCTCCACCTCTTTATTCAGAGGTAAAAAAATAAACAGCAGGTGGTGTTTTTATTGTCAGATGGCAAAAAAAAAAACCCAAAAACGCAACCCCTCACATACAGAAATGTAAGAATTATAGGCAGTAATTATTGCCTTTCTTCTCTCTGTAGATCGATCCACACCCAACTGATGTAGAAGAAATTCAACCCGTTTCATTCATGCTCTGAAGAGGATTTGTAACGAGCATCATTGTGATGAATGTCTTAATCTTTCTGCTGCTTAAGCTGATAGTGCAGCTAAAAAGGAGACGGTTTTCTTTTTCAAAACTTAAGTTTGTGTACAGAAAAGGCAAAGGAAAATGGAGAGAGAGGTATGAGCATGTTTGGTGGTGGAAGAGAATCTGCTGGATTAGTCTGCACAGAGGATCCTGTGGGAGCAGCTATGCTTGGGGTACTTGAGAAGTACCTGAAAATACTGAATGCTTTCTAAAAAGTGGATATACTACATAAAGTACCAGGAGGAGATGTACGGCTCTTCTGAAGAGAAAATAATTTATATTTTGTTTGGAACACTCTGGAAGAATTTACGCAATGATGTTGTTGTTGAGAACTTCTGTAGGAGAACTTGCGTAGTAGAACAGAATGTGGGGTAAGAAAACATTTCCAGAAGATTCCAGTGTTCAAGGGGCTTCAGTTTTGCACTGTCTGCATCCGAGAAAGGAACACTACTAAAATGTGGAGCGAAGCCTTCGCTGTAGCGTAACTTTGTATTTCATGAGAACCTGCCCTTCTAACAACTGCCAAGTGGTACTATTTCATCATTCATAATGATTCTAAAGACATCATGGATGACAGAATAGCTATTACGCAATATTATGAAGGCAACCATTTGCTGAATGAAAGACACAAGTATGTAAAAGAAAATTGAACTTTGATAAGAGCTTATGCACTATGCTTTCTTTCAAGGGATTTCTTAAGGGAATTATTCTAGCCTATTCTACTGTGAGTTCTTTTTCTGCATCTTAAGCCTATGGATAGCATGATAAGGGGAAGCTTGGCAAGGGAGAATCCTTTTGCCAGCAGCAGGTATACTTGGCAAAATGGACAATACTTATTTATTCAGAAGCCTTTATAAGCCTACCTCTGTTTTGGATATTTACTTATGGTCAGATTTAAGACCAAAAAAAAGTCTTGTTAAAGCTCCAGTATACTTCAAGGTTTTAAAAGGGACCCTAAATGGTTTCTGTGGTTAGTGAATGAGATAGGAGGCGTAGGGAGAGGTGTAAATATACCCAGAATAGACATAGCTTATAACTGAAGTGAAAGCAGACATCAGGGGAACGAAATCCTCTGGTAATGGCACAAAGCTTTTCATTACTCCTGCATTTTTGTCTAGAGATCTGTTGTCAGGGGCTGCACTCGTCATTTGCTATCCATACTATTTTTTTGTTTGTGTGTTTCGTTGTTTGTTTTTGCTGTTTAATTTTGTTTTGGTGCAATATTTTAATGTTTTCTTCCTCAGGTCATTTAGAACAGAGTTTGTTGCTGCTAAGAGTGAAGGCACAGCATTTTACTTGGCCCTTCTGCTGCCTTCATTTAAAGTAGAATGTTTGCTTCCTGCCAAGCATCAATTGGAATCAGTAAGCCACCATCAAAAGATCACTTAAAGGAGAAGAAACACAGCATTCTCAATATGCACGTTTACAGTTGAGTCTTTAAACTACAGGGGATTTTGAACTACTAGACTATTCCATATGTCTTACAGAAGGGTTTGGGGTTAAAACCCGGTGCTTCACATGGTAAAACATTGTACTACAAGAATAGTAATTGAGTTTCCCTCATTTCATCAATAACTGCAGTTTAAAGAAAATTTAAATGGTTTTTTAGGAAATCCGTCTTCATTTAAGAAGCAGGGATTTTTCTACAGGCATCCACGGATATATATTTTTAGTCTTCTTTTAGTATGACTTCCTTACATTGTCTAATTTGTAGAACTTCACCTCAAGTTACTTTTACATCAGTGTGAAAGACATACTGATTGAGATTCACGTCTCCAAACTGCAGTTACTTTTTCCATTTGCAACTTTTAAGTATTGTTTTCTATAGCAAATGCAGCTTTAACCAAAATTTGAGTGCATGTTTTGAAAGGACATTCTAAAAACTAGCATTTACCTGAAGTCTGAAGATGTAGCTCTCATGCCTTTTGATTTAAGTGATGGCGTGCCCATACAATCAATGCAGGATTTTCATTCACATCACCTGGAAAGGGAAAAGCGTATTTTCCTTAAGCAGATACCATTATAGTTACTTGAAAAGTAATGTGGCTGTGTATTAACTTGCATGTTAATAATTCAAAATATTTGCTTAAAGAACATTAGGTGCTTTTTTGGACTGTAATACCTGATAGGTGATGTGTGCTACCTGGTATAAACATGGTCAAGCAAACAAGAGCATGAAGGGTAAAGATGTGCTTTTTTTTTTTTTTTTTTTCCTTTTTCCTAAAATCTTGGAGTCGTTTTTTATTATTTGCAGATAAACTGTGGCCTTAGATTGTTTGCTGCAAAAAAGACAAACAACTAGAATGTGTTTCTTAGGAAGCACACGTGGCCCTTCAAAGGAGGGGTGAAAACAAGATTAAATTCTGCTCTCTGACACTTGGCTTAGTGCAGAAATTGATCCTTAAAATAATTACTGTTTGCACAATAATAAGTTCAATATGCAGGGGCTTTGTTTTGATAACTGTGAAACAGTTTAAAAGAGACAAAATAAAATAAAAATAAAAAAAAAAACCAACCATGCTGTTTAACATACAGGAACATGATTGTATTTTGTACTAATGAATGAGCCCCATGGGTTCTTTGTTAATAAAAGTGTCAAACCTACGTAGTGCTGTTCATCTCTGGTTTGGTGTCTCGAAGACAAATGGCTGTCCGGTCAAGAAATACCTGGATTCTACCAACTTGGAACGCATACAGATCTCCTAATTCTTTTCTGATCTGGGAACTTTGCCTTCATCTGTCACTGCCTTGAACTCTCCATAACACAGAATTGGAACAAATTTATCAAGCCTGGCCTGCTTCCACCTACAGTTATCATGTGATATACAGGACTTAATCATGTACATCAGTGTGAAAGACATACTGATTGAGATTCACGTCTCCAAACTGCAGTTACTTTTTCCATTTGCAACTTTTAAGTATTGTTTTCTATAGCAAATGCAGCTTTAACCAAAATTTGAGTGCATGTTTTGAAAGGACATTCTAAAAACTAGCATTTACCTGAAGTCTCAAGATGTAGCTCTCATGCCTTTTGATTTAAGTGATGGCGTGCCCATACAATCAATGCAGGATTTTCATTCACATCACCTGGAAAGGGAAAAGCGTATTTTCCTTAAGCAGATACCATTATAGTTACTTGAAAAGTAATGTGGCTGTGTATTAACTTGCATGTTAATAATTCAAAATATTTGCTTAAAGAACATTAGGTGCTTTTTTGGACTGTAATACCTGATAGGTGATGTGTGCTACCTGGTATAAACATGGTCAAGCAAACAAGAGCATGAAGGGTAAAGATGTGCTTTTTTTTTTTTTTTTTTTCCTTTTTCCTAAAATCTTGGAGTCGTTTTTTATTATTTGCAGATAAACTGTGGCCTTAGATTGTTTGCTGCAAAAAAGACAAACAACTAGAATGTGTTTCTTAGGAAGCACACGTGGCCCTTCAAAGGAGGGGTGAAAACAAGATTAAATTCTGCTCTCTGACACTTGGCTTAGTGCAGAAATTGATCCTTAAAATAATTACTGTTTGCACAATAATAAGTTCAATATGCAGGGGCTTTGTTTTGATAACTGTGAAACAGTTTAAAAGAGACAAAATAAAATAAAAATAAAAAAAAAAACCAACCATGCTGTTTAACATACAGGAACATGATTGTATTTTGTACTAATGAATGAGCCCCATGGGTTCTTTGTTAATAAAAGTGTCAAACCTACGTAGTGCTGTTCATCTCTGGTTTGGTGTCTCGAAGACAAATGGCTGTCCGGTCAAGAAATACCTGGATTCTACCAACTTGGAACGCATACAGATCTCCTAATTCTTTTCTGATCTGGGAACTTTGCCTTCATCTGTCACTGCCTTGAACTCTCCATAACACAGAATTGGAACAAATTTATCAAGCCTGGCCTGCTTCCACCTACAGTTATCATGTGATATACAGGACTTAATCATGGGGATCGTACCCATAATGGTCGAAGTGGCAGGATGTGTGCTCTAATTGGATTTCTCATCTCGTGTATTAATCTTCGAGGATATTTTATTGTGTTGCCTTTAGACGAGATTATCTTTGCTGTGTATTTCATTGATCTAAATACATCAGAACAACCTTATAACCATAGCATGGAATGATTAAAGCAGAGAACCTCCCAGCATGGGAAAGAGATGACAAATTGTATCTACCACATAGTTCACCTAAGCCATAAATGAGATGATGCGGTCTCTGCGAGGGTCCCGCCTCCCAAAGATTTGAGGAATAGCAAACAGCACAGTTGATTCCTTTTTCCTGTTTCCACTTCTAAGGGAAGGCAGCAAACCTCTCCTTGGAAAATCCAGGCGAAGATGCTGTTCTGGATCAGGTGTCCAAGCACTGGAGCTTGCAGAAGGGGTCATGAATCGCAGAAAGAAAATGCAAAACCTCCAATTCTGGCCTTAGATTTCTAAAACGTCTCTTACTAAATGATCCTCAGTATCCTATCACTAAGTTCACAGTAGCAATTCCACTTCATCCACAGTTAAGTTTTATAGGCAACTATTTCTCTTGACAAACTAATCGCCTACTGAAATCTGTTTAGTGTCGAAACAGGCAGGAAACAATATGTTTGCCATACAGGGATAGAGCAGATACTGCAGGTTTGTGTTTGCAGCTCTGATACTTCTGCCGTTTGCGTGAAAACACACGATTCACACACGGAGTAAGAGAGATCATTTAATCAACTCCTGGGGCATGTTCCAAACTATCAAAATAGCATGTTCCATTACTTCACCACCCAATTTGAACAGCAGAAGGGAACATCTGAAACTCATTTTGTAAAATCTCGATACATCAATAAAGAAGTGTTTGGAGAGCACAGTTTGCAGACGAAGTTGATTCGAAGCTAATCAATTGCTCTACTACCCCCCAAAAACCCCACAGCAGCAGTACCTACTTTCTAGTAAAATGCCACCGATTTTCAGTCCTGTCCTTAGGGCAGTGGATGAGCACAGGGACACAAACCGGCGTTCAGACTGTGGCATTTTCTAAAGCTGATTATATAATATGTTGCCATCAATACGGATAGTACTGGCTCTTGCACAAAGCAGATTCTCTAAAGAACTAATTAGGTCTATGATGAAGCCGGTCATTCTCTTCTAATATTAAAATTTTATATGTAGGGTGGACAGGGCGACAGTCTGGTTCTGAATTATATAGCCATCATAATTTCTAATTGATTAACATGAAA